ATTCCGGGACGCTACGGATTCTGAATCGCCTCAAAAATCAATGCAGAATGCTGTTTTGGAGGATGATCCACGATCGCCGACCGTCGGGATCCATCGCACCCCGATTGAGGTTACGCCTACATCCAAGATGGGAGCCGCAAGCAACAGTGTTCTCGAAAATTCGTCTAGCGAAGATCCGAACGAATCGCCGATGGCCGCATACCAGAAAAATCCCGTCAGACCGTCAGAGAATCTCCACCGCGAGGTGCTGGAGGCTTCTTTGTTTCCGAAGTTTTCCGCACAAATGTCTTCGACCGCAGAGCCCACCGCTGCCCGTTCCTAAGCAAAGGCTTGAACTAGATGCCTCGTTAGCTTTCGACTATTTACTATATTTGTTTGCATTTTTAAATGTATATTTTTACTACGGTGCATCGTTTATTCGATATTACGTTTCTTATTTATTTTCAGAAATGCGACACCCTGTATCTCTTTTTTCTACGAAAATCGAAAAAAATGACAAGCCCCATGCGGTACGACTGATTCGTAAGTAAATGAAGAAAATGAGCGCTAATTAGTCGAAAAATTTTATACCGTTCCACGTAACCAATTGAATACGATTATCCTGATTCTTATGCTTTCGTTCCCATGTCCAATATTTCAGCTGAGAAAGGAACATACCTTTACCATAAAATCTGTCTATACCTTTCGTCTGTTAGTTCAATACTGCTGTGCGGTAAGGAGACCGTCAAAAGACCCAAGACGACGATCGAAAAGCTTTCACAGCGTACTCGCACTTTAGCGTATCACTATAGTAAAATGAAAGGCCTTATGAAAAATTGTCATATACTCTTCGTTGCAGAGGTGTCCGCAGTAAACATGCAGATTTAGAAAAAGAGGCTGTCCCTGTTATTCAGATAGCCAAGCATAAATTTTTTATTCAGGCGGTGAGCTTTTTATATTTGGAAAACAAAGCATGGCAGAAGTCGATTAGAAGTCCGACATGCAATACGGATAAGCACGGTAGCGACAGCTCTGCTTTTTAATGGCGTTGTTTGTTCTTCGATACAATAGACATTTGAAAAAATGGCGCAATAAGAGTTTACTGATTTAGAACGCAATAGTATGTTCAATCAGGTGAGATACTGATACTGACATTTTGGGCGTATTTACCCGTTCTTCTTCGAATTAGATCTGACGGTGAAGTCTGGTTGTTGTTTCGGTTGTCTGAAACCGGGAGGTCTCTCGGCTCCCCATAAACTGCCTGGTTCACATTATTGAAAGAATAGAGTATCATCATCAGATTTATCTTCAAGAAGGCTTGTGAGATCCGAACGTAAACGTTGATTTATTACCATTCAAACCATAGTATTGTGTTAAGTATTCATAGTCTGTTTCAATGTTGCCTCTTCAGTATGTCCACTAATGGGAACAAAATATTCTACGCTAGGAAACAAATTCCTTATAGCAGACGACAGTGAGGCTTAAAACGCAACGAAGCCCACTAAACAGGTTGCTTTTACGCAATATGCCGATGGTCATTATGAGAACGTGTCAAAGTATCACTGCAGCGTTTGAACTGCCCTGGAATATTCAAGCGTGAAACCGCCTCGCCGAACTAAGAGTTTTCGGTAAGCACAACATTCTGGACTGATTCACAGAGAAATTGCTTACAGTTTGCAGTGACTAGCCACTCGAGAACCATGAATCCGTCCGTTTTATAAAAGGACCTTCGAGCGACAGGACCACAATGCGTTATAATGATTATATCGCACAACAGGTGTTTCGTACGTCGCAGTAAACGATCGCTTATGTCTTTTCGTGCTAGGGCTCGCTGTGCTGCACTGCGCAAACGAAGTAAGCCGTTAGATCCGGCATCCGCCGACGCCCATTAATCAGTAGCAGCAGCCGAATGGAGGCAAAGTACTCCCAAACGGGGCTGCGAGTTTTCCGTTCAGTTCTGTTTTCGTTTTTTCTATGCTGTTTTTTCCTAACGAACTGTAAAATTTTTCGCCATTGTCTCATGTGCTTACCCTATAAATCTGCTGCCATTTTTTTGTCATACAAGTCATCAGAGCAAAACATTTGAAGCAAGGCTCTGAAAACTGACGATCCCTTGCATGAAGCGCATGAGTCATCCATAATCCGTCATTGTTAATTACAATCCGTTGTTCTCCATGCAAATATGAATTGCACAGTGACTGAGAATTTGCAAGCATACATCTTATCCGAGTTATATCGTCTCTGTCGGGTTGTCCTATTAGAAGAGGATCCAGATCATGATCCCTTAATCATTCTCCTTTGTTGGGTCTATCCAGCGTCAAACGATCCGGTATTGTGTAATCTTTCCATCTCACTCTCAGTCGATCTGGGGTACGTTTCACATCGTAGCATGTAATTTTGTTATCACGGACATTTGCCTATTTTCGCGTCGATGTGTAGCGAATTCAGAAGATTTCGCGTTCTTATTCTTTTTTCTGTCATCCAGTGGGCGCGTTCATTGATTATTTTGTCTTCTAAAGATGCTCCGCCATTTTCCTGGACTTTCTGTACCATAACCAGTTATTTTTTGACGGACCATTCTTCACTCCATATAGCGTCTCGGGCGGCATAGTAGAGCACAAATGCTGGCTGTCGAGTGTGACATCGACCAGCTCTTCTACGGTCTAATGAATTGCGACGCAGCTGCATCCAATTTCCTATTCTTGAAAGTCCTTCAAGCATGGCACACAATGAAATTTAGGACGCCTCAAAAATTTAAAGTGTCGGTAAGTTAGATTGGCTGTTAAAACTGCTGGCTACGTCAACAAGTGTGCATCCTTGGCGCACTCAATTATTCTTTTGTGGCTTAACTCACATGGTATTGACACTTATCCTGTTCTATTGCTCTAATGTTGGCAATATCGCAGAAATGCAGTTGATTTTGTCATCTGATGAAATAGGTACAAAACTTCCTTTGAATAATTAGCATGACAACCCTGCAAAATGCCAGCTAGCTGTGAAATGAGTGTCGAGCGTCAGTACAAGAGCAGTGATTGTGGGAAACAATCCAATCGCTTACGCGTTTTTTTATCACTAAAATATCGTGTAGCTCGATTACAGAGCTGTGATCATCCAAGTAGGTTTCATCATTTAAAGGGTAATCTGCTAAACCCTGAAAGCCGTACATAATCGCAAATATCGTCGAAAAGTTGCAATTTTTATCGTGAAGCCGTTAGCGCAGCTTTATTATTTGGGGCCTTTTACTGGGCCCAATATTTTGAGCACCATATATGGGCCATAATCGATCAAAAGATAAGAATCGGAAATGTTCATGGAATTTTTTGAGTTCCGCAACAGTCGCGAAGTTCTGAACGATATATGCAGTATGGTTGTTTTACTGAATATCTGCAACCGGCGTTAAATAGCAAATGTCACTTTAGCGCTATGTTTGCGGTATAAGTTATCAACGCCACAAAATATAAGTTACCAGTATCATGTTGAAATGTTCGTCCTTTGGCGGGCAAAGGTAAGTTGAACGCTGCTTGCGTTACGGTTTTCTGGTACTAAATAGACGCATAAGTGACAACAGAAGCGTTCCTCCCAGCAAAAGGGTACTCCGGACCTGCAGAATGGGTGGTCGCCTTGGATGCCTGTATAAAGTGGATTACGCCATGCCGAAGTTAGCATCGGTTTTACTCCAAGGGCTAACTTTGCGATCGTTGCTCAAAGAGATACCTGGGCTGAAGTAAGTGTCAAGCAGGCTGCGATGAAACGCACTGTTACCTATCACTGACATTATATTCGAGTGACAGCGACAAAGTCTATCACTGCATGCAATAAGTCATTAAAGTTTTCATGCGACACGAGTGCGGGGGCTGAATGCAACGCAAAACAGGTGTTCCCGGCCTTCACGGTATTGACAGTGCGAATTAAAACGAAGGCCTATAAGAAACTTCTATAAAAAGCGGTTTAGTCATTGGCGTAACCATACTCCACAAATAAAGTAGTTCATCTAATTGCGCAGGTGCTTCCAATGGAAGTCAAAGCATCCTACTGGGCCATATGCTCCTCAGCCGCAAATGATGGACCTCGTTACTCCACAGTCGTTGCGGTAAAGGTCGGAAAAAGTCAGTTGGGGATTTCATCAAGTTTGAACCCCTTCGTTTTTAAATCAAGCCACAACTGCGACTATTTGGAATGTGGCCAGAATACTCAGAAAATTAACAACTCTTTGAAAACCATATTTGATAGCACGTTGCAACTAATTGTTGTTAGTTGCCTGGAAACGGAACGTTTTATCAGACCACAAATTTATAGCACTTGTGCACACTCGCAGAGCAAACTCTAGCAGAAAGCCATACCGAAAATTTTACAGAAAAGCAATTATTGTGCAACTGCCATTTGTCATGTTGCTCTGATGATGGAATTGGTGCAGCAAGCCAAAACTTTCAAATAGCGTAAAAATCTTGTGTTATTTTATACCAATTGTCATACAAAAAGTACAAAATTTGAAATAACATATCTTTGTACATAAAAAAATTCTTTGTATTTACCTACTTGAAGCCTTCAGAAAATTCCAGAATAATCTGGAGGACGTACCTTCACGGATTTTGCTTCAGGACTCGAAATTACTTCTGCTTTGATTCAAACACTAGTACGATTAAGAATGTTTGATACACTGTCTGACGTTGCTGCGTGTACGGCCTCAATGCATAAGCCCCAGCAAAATTAATTGGCTGGCTAATCGACTGACGACTCAAAGATTGGAAAAGAAACTTATTGAATGATTTTCGCATTATGCTGTTTGAATTTA